TGCTTACTACCGAACATAAAAACCATATTTAATGCAAAATTTTTTTCTTTCTTGGAACCATATAGGCAAGTATTTATAAAATTATAATAACCAATTGAATTTCTGTTAATTCCCTTTGTAAATGAGCTGGCATTTTCTCAGCATCCATTGACAAGGTTCATTTGATCCTTAAAAATGCTTCAAAGTTTTAGAAAAGACTTTTGGTCTTTAAGTCTTCAGTTTTCACCAGAATCTTAAAAAGATCCTTAATTTAACTCATCTAACTTTTTTTTTTTTTTTTCTATTTTGAGTATAAATTAACATTTGGGAGGAATAATTTTTGCCAATCCATCGACAAAGATACATTTGATGGATTATCATTTGAATTCTTTCCTACTTTTTAATGTATTCATGATATTCGAATTTATGGGCGCAACCCTGCCCCAATTGAAATGTAAAACATTTTGAAATTATTTCTTTTATGTCAATGAGGAATTCATAAAATTATTTTTCCGTATGGGGGTATAAGTTTTTATCTTGTGCATCGCTAAATTTGGCCACTTATCAACATTTTAACTATTTCAAGATCAATTTGTATACAAAGTTTTTTATTTGAATATTTGCGAATTTTTCATCTTCTCTCTCTCTCTCTTTTTTACGAGTATAATAACACTAATAAATATTATTAAAATAATGATAATCTATTTAAAAGTCTATTTAAAAAATAACATTAAAATAAAACATTCTTAATTTTTCCTGTAGCACTTTAAGGTAAAATTGCTTTTCATTTTGCTGTTTTATAAATACTTTTATTCTTAAAATTAAACAAAGTAATAAATGCTATAAAGCACACTTTCTGAAACATTTCTTTGCAAAAGCAAAAAAGCTATTGTAATTATTTAAAATTAATTTTCTTTGTCCAGTTGTATATTTTTTCATGTAAGTATTTCAAAATATTCAAACATGTATCGGTTTTCTCTTAAAAATTCACTTTATGCTCTTCTTTAAATCATCTGTCATTTTGCTCTTACTGTAGGGATAATTTTTCTTTCGGATTTTAGAGTTTGCACCTCAGAAGGTTTAGAAGGATTTGAAGGCAAAGTTTATAATAGATCTACAGTTCCGGATGATTCCAGAAAAATGTGACAAGACAGAAAATGCCTTCATTATATTAACACAGGACATGTTTTACAGACAATTTGTGATGAATCTAATTTTTTGGAGAATTTTAGAACAGTTAAAACAAAATTATCTGAATTTTCTGCTTCGGATCCTTGAAGTCTTGATATGTTTTTCTTCTCTTTATTTTCTCATCTTTTCACTGGGCACAAACATGGAAAATTGCAAAATATGGTTTTAATCTTGTGGAATGCACAAGTATTTGTAGAAAGGAGTTTTTCTATTAATAGAGAAATTGAAAATCGAGGATTTAAAAGCTTCATCTCGTATGCCTCAGGTTACCATACACAAGGCATTTTGTCGCCTGGTATAGTCTGTATGGCTACCCAGTGCCTGTCTTAAATTCTAAACATTTTGCCATCTCAAAATTTTGTTTCTCGGTGCTTGACTAAATTCTAAAATTTCTGCCACATTGGCCCTGGCACCAGCCCTGACCTTATATCATTTCATATGTATTCTCAGTATTCATATTATTAAAAAAATACAATTAGCACTTTCTTCTATGGACACTTCTTCTATAAACTTATGCTGTTATTATTATTAAAGAATAGCAGAAACCTTTAATTAAATCAAAAGATTCTAAAATGAGGGAACTTATTGAGGAAGAAATTGATTACATAAGGAGAAAGGAAATTTTCACAAGTTAGAAGTGGGACTAGTGTGAACACTGACTTGTTTATTGAACCAAAAAAAATGCTACAGAGAAGGAATTTGATGTAAATGAAAATTATCTGGAATATTCTCAAATTAAAAAGACACATAAATATTTGATTGTGTGTAGTTGCTACAAAACATACATTTTTGTAGCTTGTAATATGTAATTATTCTAATATCATTTTAGAATCAATATTATAAATTATATGTGTAATTTTCTGTTATTTTAAGCTGTAAATTTTTTTTTATATTGTAACTTTAATAGTGATTTTTAATGAATATTTTTCAAAAATTAAAAAAAAGCATTATCATGTGTATCTATAATGACTAATGATATGTAACTATGTAATTTAATTATTTGTTACTAATTTTTCACCCTTACAAGTTATCTCTACATGTTAAGACGAGTTTTTGCCTTTCCTTGATTCTTACTGTAAACATAAGATACTACATAGAACTGTAAAACTCAACATAAATCTTTATTCATTACAGCTAACTCCTTAAAGCTAACATGATTTAAAATAGTACAGTCAAAAGTCGTTAATCCGGACTCGTCGGGACTTCGGCGATTCCAGATTATAGATCATCAGTTTAAATCTGATAAGATGGCATGCAGAAATTACAAAATTAAAAATATGAAACCGTAATTTATGAAATAAAGAACAATTATGATCTAAAGGGTATCAAAATTTACAAAAAGAAAAAGCTTAATATTTATTTGTTTACTTTATTAAACATTTCTTTCAATGTAAATTGCTTCGTTTCATGTGATAATACTTTTCTCTTTAATTCTATTAAACAGACATAATTTCTTGTTTTGTTTAGTTACAAAGTTCCGCTGTTCAAGTCCTATAATTGCTGTGTTGAGAATACCGACTAATTTGTCAATCGAAATGTTTTCGTTTTCAATAACCTCTGGGTCACTTTCTTCACTATCGGAAGCGAATTATAATGACGAGGAACTTGATTTAAATCATATCGAGATGAAATACTACATTTAGTAAGGAATTATAAGCCAAATAAAATAAAAACATCTGCCCTGAAGATAAGGATAGTGCTGACAGATCAACTTCCAATCCGCCACGTGAAATTCATAAACAGATTTCGGATTTCAAAACATACTTTCGCTTTGTAGATACAAATTACATATTAATAAATATATATCAGAAATTCTATTTGACATAATCGAAAGTTCAAGCTTACTTTTATGAAATTGCTCTAACAGTCTGCAAAAAATAATAAGCCGGATCCAGTTCGAAGATTAAGGAACAACGCAATATGTAACATTAACTGAATTAGATAATTTTAGCTTAGCTTATACCTCCGTTACACATTACACGCGCATGCGCACAAACATATTCGCAGCCATAAAGGTCTTACGCGCACTCGTAAACGCCTGTATGCATGCGTGAATGCAACGCATGCGCAGAAAGTTTGTAGGTTTGAGGTCCGGATTATAGATCATTACGGATTATGGGTGTCCGAATTAACAACTTTTTACTGTACAAAATAACTTACTATCGCTGGTGCTTCAATGGCTTATTGGAACTTTATAGTAAGTGCTGTATATTAAATGCTTATAGCTAACTGGTTATTGTATATTAACTGGGTTGGAACTCTTTGCAAAGCTATGACACGAACTTGGTTAGATAGAAAAAATACAACTAAGTGTTACACTTACCAACATTTCCAATGTCAAGCATTTATGTCTGTTCTGATCAATGGCTCTCTCTCGCTCTTAACAGTCAGCAGTGGTGGCAACAGCCAAGCTTCTGTTGTGAATCATGCTGCTAATGATTTTATGTCTCATTTAAATTTGTTTTGTGCTGGATATAAATCTGCAAAGTGGACTGAACAAGTACATTATGAAATGAGGCATATAAATAAATATACATTCAGAATATTAATAAAATCAACATAAAGCTAACTGTTAATAAAACTGAAATAAAATGTCAGTGGACTGCTATAAGTAAAATATAAATGCCTCAAGAAATTTTGTAATTTAATGCTGATTACTTGATAAATTTTACAAAATTGATTTTATCTTCAAATTTATAATTTTGTTTAATAATGATGCATCTTACAGATTTATTTGATTCTTAGAATGGTACTATAAAAGTGAACTTTGTGTATAGATAATTGATTTAGTTTATTCTATTCCCATTTGCTGATAGGGCCTTATTTTTTTTTTTTTTTTTTTTTTTTTATCATTTTTGGCCCTTAAAAGTACTTAATTTCCATTTACAAAAATGTTTACAGACTCAGACTGAGAAAATACTTTTGTAAAAAGATGATCTCCGGAGTTTTTTTTTTTTTTTTTTTTTTTTTTTTTTTTTTTTTTTTTTTTTAGCATCCGTAGTTGAATATATACCACCATAAGTGCTGGAATTCATTTTTAATACATTTATTTTATACATTTTTGTATTTTTGTTATTTTCTTGGGATGATGGAGGGCACAGAAAAATGAATCAAGGGCTACTGCTACCCACTATCAGGCATACTAGCTTACTGCCTCCCATGGGCCACAATTTTGACATGCCTGATCTAGTGGGTATTGCTGTATTTTTCTCCAGAAAAGTTTTGCTTACCATCTAGTCTAATATTGTATAAAAAAGAAATATGGTAGAAGCAATTTTTATGATACATTAAAGTAATCCTAAGAGTACAGAGTGCAATAAATTGGTACTTTTGGCCCTGAAAATTTGCTGGCTCATTTATAAATTTGATGCAGTATTTACAAAGATTAAGAATAAATTGTAATATATGCATATGTATATATATTATTATTATTATTATTATTATTATTTCTATTTTGCTTTTGTCATCAGTAGGTAATCCTGTAAAAACAAATGAATAGAATGACTGCTTTATAATACATTAAACTTATAGTAAAATCATTTTTCAAATTCTATTAGAATATGAAACATGGAAAGGCTTGCTTTATTACTTATAGAAACTGAAATCTCAACAAAATTGCTTTTCATTTCCTTCCTAGTTTTTGGCCATGTTATGGCCAAAATATGATATAAATGTGCATAGAAGTTTAAATAACCAAAGTATTTATTTTCATTGATTGAAGTAGATTTTGTTAGCATATCAGTTTGAGGAAAAATCTGAACGTTTTCTTCAGATTTTTTAACTATTGAAATATTTTAACTTACATTTCTCTCCCTCTGCCTTTTTTGTAGGAGGTGCAGATGCTGTTAAATTTACAGTTAATGTCTTGACTATCTATGGCATGCTGAATCTTATTTTATACACTGTAAGTATGTTATTGGTATTTTTGTTAATTATTCAGACTGAATATTTTGTTATGTATTTAAAAATACTGTGAATGAAATTTCTTCTTTTTGTGTCTTTATCCTTGTTTTACAGTCAAAAGAAAATGTAATAAATTGCTTTATCAAGTCGCATATTTTTAAAAAATTTTTGTTACTTTTTTCTACTAAGTTCTTTGAATTTCATTTGGAAATTATTTATTTAAACAATTCAATGATTCTGTAAACTTTTTAAAAATTTTATGTGTGCGTGTCATAACAGTTATTAATTTTCTATAAAATATGTGAAATCTTCTGTAAGTGCCATACAAATTTGAAAAGATACAAAGAAGAATACAAAGATTTTCCAAACATAGATAAAAGTTTCCATACAAAGATAAAAGTAGTTTTACAGTTCTCTGTTATATCAGAATGCTTCAGTTTAGGAAATATAGTCAACTATGTTCCTCCTCCCCCCAAAAAAAGTTCTTTTTAATGGTCAATGATAAGTTAAAAAAAGGTTGGTTAAAATGAAAAATTCATTTAAAAAACAGATTTATTATGTATCTTGACTAAATATTAAGATTTCTCAATATGTATCTTGGTTAAATATAAAATTTTTGTAATTATGTCTAAATATTAAGATCCATTATATAATTTCATGGATTATTAGCCTAAAGGAGCATTAGCCCAGAAGGGCTATTAGTCTCGAAATTGAGTTGAATCATTGTGAACAGCTGTATCACTTTTCAAATTGTTGCCACCAAATAGTATCGCCCTTTATTATATTTAAAGATATTAAATAATAAAGAAACTGCATGAATGTATGCATGTTTCTCACATCGTGAAAAAACAGCAGAACCATCAAATTTTGAATAACGTAGTCTTCCACCCAAATATGGCACCCGGAAGCAAGAATTTTGAATATGTTTTATTATCTATTTCTTTTTTTTTTTTTTTTTAATTTTAACGAATTTTGGATTAAGAAACTCAAAGATTTCCAAAGGAGCAGTGGCAACGCACTACAGAATAAAATATTTTTGTCACTGCATAAGACTTTCTGTCAGAAATTCTAAAGTTATGCTGTTTTTAAATGCTTTTAGTCCAAAGGGGCATAAGCTCAAGTGCTCTTGAAACGTGTATGTATGTGTAAATGAAAAAAAAATCCCCCTTTAAGCATATTTTTTTTAAATCTTTATGTTATATTAAAATTTTAAAATATTTTAATTCTTGTTTTTAGAGTTTAGGAATGGCTATATTTCCAGTCAATTTGATAAAAGGATTTCGCTCTTTTTCTGATGAAGAATTAGTTTTATCTGAAAATCAAGCAGCTAATGAAGCAAAAATTAATGCTCTTAAAGCCAAAGTAAGCTGTAATTAATAATAAAAATGCATTCTGTGTTATAAATTTTCATTCTCTGTCTGTGTGAGAACAACATACATATTTTTCATTAGATATTTACAAATAAATTAGTTTTTTAAAATTGCATTTTATGAGCAAAAATGTTACATTCTTTTGTTTGTGAAGGAATTTGATTGGATATTTTTTCATTTATATTGTATTTTAGGCTAGATAATTTTAAAATGTTTTTTAAATGCTAAATAGATATTTTATAAGTTTTTTTCCTCCTTTTTTAAATACTTCTGTAATAATATTTTTAACAAGGTTCATAATGCTGTCAATAATTAGAATGTATTGGGTAAATTAAGCAGATTATACTTATTACCTGATGTTTGGTTTTAAAATTAAAAAATAAATTAATTAAATAAGAAAAATTCAATATATATTAAGCTACAAATTATTATTCAAGGGAATAACATAATAAAGAGCCAAATAGGCATTCAAAAATAAACTTTAATAATAAAAATAAAAAATTTCTTTTCAGTGTATTCTGAACTTAAATGTTTTATAATCATAAAATATATAGTTAAAATTAAATTTTTACATTTATCCTGTGTAGGTAATAAATGGCAGTGAGAACAGAGTATTTGATTTAGGTTAAAAAAATATGCCAAATAAATAATTATTGGAGATGTCAAACAACAAGAATCAGTGTTATATTTGTAAATTTTGCAAGACTAGTTTCAGTGGTTTAACTACAGAACCATCTCCTCAGCTGCCTAAGTGTAAATGAACAGCGTTCAGAACCATCTTCCATGACTTAGGCAGCTAAGGAAGATGGTGCTGTAGTTATACCATCGAAACTAGTCCTGCAAAATTTACAAATATAATGCTGATTCTTGTTGTTTGACTTCTCCTGTAAGAGTATTTGATATTTAAATGCTTATGTCCCAAACATACGAATTGTATCATAGGTTATATTATTAATTAAAATCATATTTTTAGAATTTTAGCACAGCAGCAGCTCAGTAATACAACTTATATGTTGAAATTTGTGCATTCATTTTTTGTTTGTACATGTGTGCTGAATGGCAGAAACATGTGAATAATGATAAGAAATGACTATATTAAACCTAGTTGTAATAACAGCTCATAACTTTTGCATAGGACTTATTAACCTTATTAGAGTGAAAGGTACCTAGACCAGCATCTGAATTTTCTGAAATGTATCAGTATTGATAAAAATGATAAACATGGTGATAACTTTGTTGTGGATAGTCATAAAATACTCTATGAGGCAATTGCATTAAATATTTAAGGGGGTAGGTTATAATTGCTTCTAGTAAGCATGCAATGGTCCTGTTATGTCATTGTTGCTTTGATTACTGTAGATTGTCCAATCTGGTACATACATTCCAAAGAATATTGCTCATGTCATCGATGTGTGATAACAGAACTTTAGGAATGTTTGTGATGTGATAGTATAAGATTCACTGTGCAATCTAGGCTGTTAGATTAATTTTGATTTTTGGAACATCTGTTGATATGAAGGTATGGGTGTAACATCAACAGTATGAGGTCATGTGTGCATGTGTTATGTTATTCTGTTCAGGACAGAATGTATCTATCAATGTATCTAGAATAATGTTTAAACATTATTATTACCACCATGTACTGGCTGATCACGTGCATCTTTGCATACCTTCTGTGCATCGTGAAGGGAAATGTTTATTTCATCATTAATGGGCCATTACCATTTAGACATCGATCAGGGAATATTTATGTGTTCCAAACCATTTAATGGATTTCAAGATCCCCAATTTAAGTACTGCTTAATTTAAGTAATGCTCCTGAGATGCTTTATAGTAACATGTCAGCTGTGATAATCCTTGATTATGTTATGAATGGAGCTGTGGACAGTATTTCAAAAGACATGGTTTTTGGTTTTAACTTTCAAGAGTCAGTAATTGTCAGCATTGATGCCTTAGAATGTACAGATACTGCAGATTTTGTATGCCACAGGAAGACCAATAAGCTGCAAAGAAGATTCTATAGCAGAGAGCTCAGTGTTAATTGCTCTGCATTAAAACATATTTGTCGTTTTAGCATAAGCATTTTAATATGATTGTCATGTATATAATTAAAACAAGAAGATATCAGATTAGTAAAGGTACACTGTGTAAAAAAAAGGGGGGGACAGTTCGATATCTCCCATTCAATTGGGCCGATTGACGAAATTCAACTTATGTTTTTCATCTCTCCAAAACACAACTTAAGATATGTAGTAGATTTATATATAGCATTGTTCTAATATAGGTGTTTTGACACAAAATCAGACCTTTTCTGAAATAACATACCATTTTTTTTTTTTTTTTTTTTTTTTTTTTTTTTTTTTTTTCCCATATTTTCATTCTACGGCTCAAATTACGCCAAACTACCAAGTCCTGTAAAAATCACACGAGTCATTTTTAAAAAATTAGCTTTAAAAATGTTAGCTCCTTAATGTTAATTGAGTATGGTATATATTTATTAATCTCTGCTTTTTTTATCAAACTTATTTTATTCTTTTTTTTCACATTTCAAAATTCAGGTTCATTTCGAATAAAATTCACCCATTTTTTTATAATTTACTTTTAAAATTTGTATTTTTAAATAACTTTTATAAATTTTTCCAAAAAAAATTTTGAATTATTACCTATAAAATTTTTCTCATCATCTTAAAATAGAGGTATTTCTAAGCATATCTGCAAAAAATTACAGTTTGTTATTCAAAATTTCCAAAGATATACGTGAATTTATATATTGGCATGTTTTGAAATTTTGCATATTTGTTAAAAGCGATAAAACATCAAATGTGGCTTAGACACTTTGCTAGAATTAAACTCTTTTGCAAAAAAAAATCAAAGCACAAAGAAGGACTTTTGCGATTGTGAGGAAATATGGTATGAAAAAAACATCTTTATCGAACATGCAAATGATCAAAGTTTCAAGGCAAATGAACAGGAATTGCAATCATAGCGTGCATTTCTAGTGCACAATTTGCAAAGTATAAAACGTAACAGAGGCGGAAAATTTATCTTTTTTTGTTACTGTCATTGTAATTTCATAAAGAAGCAACTAAAGATGCCATTACGATGATAATAAAGACCTCACAGACAACTGAACGACTTTGAACATGAACATATTGTAGGGCTGTGTGAAGCTGGGTGGCCATACCGAGCAATAGGCCGCCGCCTGCAGCCTAAACGCTCACAGAGGCCTTTAAGACGTTTGCCTTTGACCCCACAACATCGACGGAGTCGTATGGGGTGGTGTTGCAGCCGATCATCATAACTGTCATCAAACTGACATCGTATAGTGTTCAGCGATGAATCCCGCTTCACTCTTGAAGCAAATGACCACCACATTTGTGTCTGGAGAGGACAGGGCCAGTGGTTCCAATCAGCCTTTGTTTTACAAAGGCATACAGCTGTAACCCCTGGTGTGATAGTGTGGGGCAATATTTCTTATGACAGCAGGTCATCTTTAGTCATTCTCCGCAAATTTTTAACAGCTCGACAATAAGTTGATGCTATCCTGCGGCCGTTTGGATTACCCTTCATGGGGCATCATCCATGGGCCATTTCCAACAAGATCCCTGGCCACATACTGCTCGCATATCTCGGGACTGTCTCTGTGCGGTTGATACTCTTCCTTGGCCAGCAAGGTCACGAGAACTTTCACCAATCGAGCATGTCTGGGGCATGGTAGGCCGTCAGATTTTGTCACCACAAAATATTGCAGATCTGGAGTGACAACTGATGAATGCCTGGCAGAATGTGTTGCAGGATGACATTAGGAACCTCTACCACTCTTTGCCTCGAAGAATTCAAGCCTGCATTGCCGCCAGGGGCGGTTCGACCAACTACTAATTTGAACACTTAATTGGGTGATTGTGAGCCGTGAACAGGTACTTGATTTTTTAATCATTTTATGATCTGTGTATGAACTATTCACATATTCAATTTCATCAAAAACAACCACTTCCTTCATGGTAGTAGGAAACTACCATGCTATCAACTTCATTTGAAAGTAGGAATGACGTAACTTTTTTCTCACTCAGGCACAATGTGAAAAGGTAGGAACAAAGTACCTTTTTTTCCGCTCCGGCATAATGGAAGGGAAAGGAAAATTGTTTGCCATATATGAAGAAGTTTGCCAAGTGAATAATCTTGGTGCAACATGAAAAAAATGTGCCAAGATAAATTTTTGAATTTCTCCGTAAATTTTACAAAATTTATATCTAGGCATAATATGAGTCGTAGTATCAAAATATGGAAAAAATTGGTGTGTTATTTCAGAAAAGGTCCGAATTTGTGTCAAAATGCCTATGTTAGAACCATGCTGTATATAAATCTAATATATACCCTAAGTCGTGCTTTCAAGACATAAAAAATGCAAATTTTGTCAATTGGCCCAGTAGAATGGGACATAAAACTGTCCTCTTCCCCCCCCAACGCAGTGTTCCTAGACCTGCATTTTTGGAAGACATTTTTAACTAATTTTTATTTATATTTTTTACGTTTGAGATATCATATAGAATAATTTTTTGATTAGAAATCGAACTTAAGTTGAACTTAAAAACCCAAAGTTATGAAGTTTTTAAGCATTGCTTATTAGTAGATTCATGATTTATAAAAACTAAATATAGCTTAAAATACTTTAAATGAAACTATTATTATTTCTTCATTGTAAATTTTCTTTTTATTTCTTCTAGCAATCAACAAGATCTCTATCATCAAGAGAAGTTGCTGCTTTAGCTGATTTAGAAGAAGAAGAGAGCTTGATTTCTCGTCGGGCATTACTTTTAGAAACAGAAAGGAGAAGCATATTTCATAAATGTGGACCATTTTTAAGAATCTTCAGTGCAATTGGTGGCTGTATTGGAATCATCTTTTCTTTGATATTTTGTTCTTCTCTTCTTTTAGCCAAGTAAGGAAGAATGAATCATATTTGTTTATCCATTTACAAATGAAAATACAAATTTCCTCTTTTGCATGTAATAACCTTACCCTCTCTCCCATGATATCATAAAATTAAGTTAAAGAGTGCAACAGGGGTTCATGTGGTCCTTAAAAGTCCTTAGGTTTTTTTTTTGGCTGTTAAAAGTCCTTAATTTTGGCCAAAATCAACAGAAGGTCCTTAATTTTAATCATCTGAAATTTCTGTCAATTTTTAAAACTACTATTTTAAGTGTGAATTAGCATTTTGGAGGAATATTTTTGGCGGTTCATTAATAAATTTTGAATTTGAAAGAAGAAAAAAAGTGTAATGCTATAAAGCAGGGGTTCTCAAGCTTTTCAAATTTTGTACCACATAAATATGAAACAAAATTATATGTACCACCATAAAAGCATTTCACCATTAAAAATCAATGCATCCTAAATGGAGTGTACATAATCAAGGAATAAAACCCTTTGTATTCTTTAATTATATTCGGAAATGAAACTTTTACATTACAATAAAATATAAATAAGTATACTAGAGTGCCATTATGATTTTTGGAAATTGTAACGTCAAGAAATTGTTCGAAGCTCTTGGGAAAGTTAGCATTTCAACATTAAAACTAGAGTCATAAAAGTCAACTTGAATATATGTGTTTCTGAATAATAAAGATTAAAACAAATGTTAAAAGGGGCACAATTTTGCATTCATTTTGAACATTCATTTAATTTTTTTCTGTAAAAATTGTATCACTAAAAATATTGTAATTTACCAAAGTTTGAGAACCTGTGCTATAAAAGCACAATTTTTAAAACAAGTTCAAAAAGCAAAATAGCTATGTAATTTGTTAAAAATGTCTTTTTAATTTTTTCATGATAATTTTTTCCCATGTAATTGTTTCAGAATATGCATCAGTTTTCTCTAAAAAAATTTATTTTACAATTCCTCTGTGTTTTTTTTTTTTTTTTTTCTAAAAAAAATATTTCTGGCTTATTGTTGTTTCGAAATTGGTAGGGGTAATTTTTCTTTAGGATTTTAGACCTTGCAGCTTGGAAAGCTTAGATGCATTTGAAGGCAGGATTTATTAACCCATGTTTCTAGCAGATTCCAGAAAAATGTGACAAAATGGAAAATGTCTCCATGATACTAACATGTAATGGATGTATTTTACAGAAAGTTTGTGATGAATTTCTTACTTTTTGGAGAACATCTAGAAGAAGAATGAAAAAATAATATTTGAATGTTTTACTTTTGATACTAGAATATTTTTCTTAACGTGTTTATCTTCCCTTTATTTTCTCTACTTTACACTAGACACAAGCATGGAAAATACCAAAAATGCTTCTTATTTTATCTTGTGGACAAGCAATACAGAAAGGAATTTTTTCCCTGCTCAAAATTCTAAAAGTTTTGCCATTTCTAGATTTTGTTGCTCGGTGTGTCACTAAATTCTAAAAATTTTGCCACACCAGCTCTGTAGCCGCCCTTTACCATATAGATTTCATATTTCTTCTCAATGTTCATATTACTAAAATAAAATTAGCAGCTTTTTCTATACATTCTAGATTCATTTAGTTTTCTTAGATTATCAGAAATCTTAAACTAAATCCAAAACTTCTAAAATGAAAAGAAAACATGTTGAGGAAAGAAAGTGAATACATAAAGAGAATGAAAATTATTCTTCAAAGACATGTACAGTTATTATTATGCAAATTACCCAGTTGTTTATAATTTCAGCCTTTACTATAATTCCCCATTTTTATTTTCTCACCAGACTGCAAATCACTTTGACAGTTTCTAAACTTTTGGATTGTAAGACAGAGTGTGTTTCTGACCTATTCATACTTGCTGCATTAGTCCCTGTCAGCTGTAATAATTCGTAATTATTCATCTTTGCATTATCGCTGCCAACATTTGAATTTGTCCTGATGATATAGTTACTGAGCCGGCTTAAATTAAAATTAAAGTGTATGTATAGTCTATGATGTTTGTCCACATTTTAAGTTTGAATTTGGCTCTTCTTGTTTAATTACATTGCCATGAGCTGTAATTGATTTTATTAGCATAAGAACATGACTTTATGTTCTAATTCCTTTTTAAATAAGAGGCTTATTTACACATTTATCTGACTTAATAATTACTTTCAGCCATAGTGATAATTTGCTTCATATCTGTTGGGAGGTTTTGGTCTATTTAACTTTTACCAGATCAAGTAAATCCTCATAGGTACATTATGGAAACACTAACATGTGTTAGTGGGAACACTGGTTTGTATTGAGACGAATTTCTAATTGTTAGAAAAGATGCTTAAAGAGAAGGAAATTAATATAAATTAGCTGAAATGTCTGGGAAGGCTTCAAATTAAAAAAATGCATAATTATTTTGTTGAGTGTTGTTGCTACAAACGTTTTGTAGCTTTTAATGTGTAATTATCCTAATATCGTTTAAGAATCAATGTCCTAAATTAAATGTATTTTAAACTGTGAAATTTTATTATATTTTGATTTTAATAGAAATGTTGTTAAAAAAATAAATAAAATTTAGTGGTGGCATTGGTAAATCCATAATGACTAAAGTTATCTAACTACCTAATTTAATTATGTGAAAGTAACTGACTGCTTAAGTGAGTTATTGCTTTTCATTAATCCTTTCCGTAGTCACAAGATAAAACACATAAATGTGGAAATTCATTTAAAACTTATTCTTCACATCTAGTGAGACTTCAAATAATATTAAACAACTTATCACCTAGGGTGCTTTAATGGCTTATTGGAACCTTAAAGTATATTAACTGAGTTTCAATCCCTAAAATTCTACATGAAGCTATGACACTAACTGCATCAGACAGAGCCCAACTAACTTTCAAAGCTTGCCAACTGTGCCTACATCAGGCCTTTCAGGTTTGTTCTGATCAGCAGGTCTCTCTCTAGGCAATGGTGACTACAGCCAGTCTTTTGTTTTGAATTATGCTGATTATGATCTTACTTTTCATTTTAACCTATGCCACTTGACATAAAATCTACCTGCTGTTTACTAAACCTCTAGACTGAGCAAAAATATGACAAAATGAGACTTTTTTTTTAAAAAAATCAACATAAAGCTAACTGGTAGTAAAATGTAAATAAAATGTCACTTATCTTCTTTCAAGTAGGTTCAACTATTATTAAGTGTAAAATATTTAATGCTACTTGATAAATTTCATAAAGTTTATTTTATTCTCAAACTTATTTATATTTGTGTTAATTAGGTTATGTTTAATAATAATGCATACTACTTACAAATCTATTTGTTTTTAGGATGGTATTACAAAAGTGAAGTTTAGGCACAGTAATATTTTTAATTGAATTCATTCAGTTCTCATTTGCTCATAGGTCCTTAATTTTTTTCATTAAAGGTCCTTAAAAGTGCTTAGTTTCCTTGTGCAGAAATGTCTATGATCCCTAGTGCAAGTTTATTTGCAAAATTAATGTGCCAGTTAAAAACCTCATTAAATTAAGTGCTATTAATTACATTATAAGTTTAAATTAAATTTATTGTCTTGCCCTGCGTATAAACCAATCTTTTCAATTTAAAGTACTCTTACATACCTATTTCGTATGGGCAGTCCCAAATGCAGAAACTATATTAAGATAATGTAATTCATATTCCTTAATTCTGACATTCTAGGGAACCATATATGCTTCATTTTACATCAGCATAGTGTTTGAAGCTATCTTATATACAAGAAATGTTTTTCTTTTATACTTCTTCAGAAACTCAGGATCATCATTCTCATTTGAGCCATAAACTCAGGATCTCATTTAAGCTAGTTTCATATTTTAATCAATTTAAATGTGTTTAGTGGAGGGGGAATCTGAGGTATTGGTGTAAAACAACAAAAGATGCAAGAATGCTTAGATTGATTTTTGAATATAAAAAGATGAAGGTCATATCTGTGCAAAAAAATAGCATAGTGCAATTACACTTGATCCGAGAATATTAATGTCTCCATATTTTTCTGCAGCATTTTAAAATTTTACTCCCTGCCTTCTTTTCCCATTTGAAATGATTGTTATGTAATGTCAAAACAATTATGTATAATTTTTAAGTGAATAGTAAAAATCGTAAGTTATTTTTATATAAATATTGATATTTACATTTATTGTACAACATTGCTTTTTATTAAAATTATATAATATAATATTGTATAACACTAATTAAAAAGATATTGGAAAGTAATTAAAATCCTGAATTTTATAATTTTTTACACAAATTGTTTATGGCATTTTTATCACAGTGCCTCTGCTTCATGATGTGTTTGGTCTATCTTTCCACTTGCAAACGATCTGTAGGAAAAAGTTTCTTGTTTCTGGTGAAGCCTTTAAGTTGCATTGCATCCTGTACATTACCTCATATTACCTATAAACTTTTGACTGTCTCCAAAAAAGACTAGTAGAAATCCAATGATGGGAAGATATCCAATGATGACTGATCCAATGATGTCCAATTTTACTATGCATAATGTAGCTGCTGCTGAATAGGGATAACCTTGAATATAAGGCAGCTGTTATCCGTTTGGAAGATGCCCATATCATTTTGATCATATCACTGTTTTCAGCTTGTGTACTGTCAGCTTTATTCAGCACTAATAATAATAATTTGATTCTTTTCTAAGAAGCACACTTATTTAAGGCCATTGACAACTTTTCCTGCAGAAGCTTGTGTCTTAGCTGGAGTTTTTTGTTCCTTGGTCAGATGTGATGTTCTTCCATTACATTGGGTCCCTCTTACTCTGTGGTTTATAATGGTGCATTCAGGATTAGTTTTTTGGCACATATTGTTGGATTTTGTCACATCTTTTTCATGAGCATAGCAATTCAAATATCCTTAACAAATTATTTTTTATACATCCTTGGGGAACTGCCTGATATATTAGGCAAGTGCTTTGAGACTGATCTGTTATATTTTTCCTATTTCCAGTATCTTTATGAGCAACACTGTATATAGAGCAGTGACTCATGTTGAATTCTGTGTAAATTTCATCATAGGTGACTTGCCTATGGATGAAAGATATTCATCATAGGCGAGATGTTGTACCCTGCTGTTTGCAGATTTTGCTGTTCAACTCCACTACGTTTTGTATGTGAATTTTTTCACTCATTCGTATATTCTAATAATTATTTCCGTACCAAAATTTCTTTCATGTATAGGCTTGAGGTTTTACCTGACCATAAACCAACTAAAAATGCTTCAGTTCTTTTTCATAGTGCAAGGAACTGAGTGATATATTTTTCATAGTGAATTTTGTATACATATCAATAATGATGTGTATATGTATACAAAATATTGTACAAACAATTGCTGTTTGGTTATCATGACCCTGCATTCAGTATTGCCAAAGTATTATTTTGTAAAAATGTTTTCATTGTGCATTATTTTCATGCAGTTCTGATTAAAATCCATTTTCTTTAAAACACTTGTGTGAAATATTGAAATTTCATGTATTTGAAGTTGGTTTTCTATTTTTATCATTGATTGAGTAAATTAAGATTTTATTTAATCTACCTTTTTAAAATTTTAGCATTGATAGATTAATGCATTCACTTGGTTACAAAATGGGATATGCTTTGAAAGAAAATTATATACAGAATCCATTGGATTTCATCATGGTTGAAGCCCAAAAGGTAGATTTTATCTTATTTTATTTATTTGTTCAAAGTGTGTGAACAATAAATAGGAACTAATAAATATGCACATTAAAGTCTATTGCACTCTTTGAGCATAATTATTCCATATTTAATGGCAGATATTTATTTGACATCATCTAAATAATAAAAGATTTTTAAAAAAGTTAAATATATTTTTTATGTATAGCAGCTTTATTTCAGGGCCTCTAATAATAACTGAAATGAGGAAGAACTTATTAAATTGGTCATATCAAAATGTATACTGGATAATTTAAGATTACCAGTAGCCTCTGATTTCTGGTAACTATGTCTTCTAAAAAATTCCCGAGTAATTGTAGGAAACAGGTATAAAACTGATATTATCCATTGATTCAGATACAGTGTAAAATTAGAAGTTGATGACTGCAGAAAAATGAAAATTTTCTTCAACTCTTGGTCAACAGCAGGCAGCCCACCTCACATATTTCAATCAGTGTAGTTTAACTGTAGTCATGACTTAATTTCAAAACATAAAATTTAAAATCATTAAATTTATAAAAGTAATTAGTGCCAAAGAGTAATCTTGATACTCACCTCAGTTGTGTGTTACTGTATGTATTAATCTGAGACACTTAAGCTCTGACTGGCAAGTCACTTACCAGCTAGACAACATGGATTAACTTAAAGTTGGAAATGCTGTTGAAAATATAGATGAAGCATTGCATAAAGCTGTGTGTTAGGACAAGTTTTATTAGAGCAGTATAAAAATACATATTGTATACTGTTTTTATATTAATTTATTTATTATTTTAAGTGAAGGTAGTGAGTGACGCAATAAAAGTTGGAATAAAACTAGATATTAAAGAATTAGATCAATAGTATTAGATGCAAAATAATTGAATAATAAATCTCTTATTAGTATAGATAACAGAAAGCTTATATGAGGAAAGGGACGTCAGCTTAGGTATAATTGAAATGCTTACAACAGAACTAATGGTTTGCCAGTTTTTAGATATTATTCTCATTTTTTTAATGCTTTGTTATGAAAATTGATACCATTTTTTAATATATCATTCAATTCGCTATGTTACAAGTAATGTAGTTTACTATTATAGAGATATATATGAAAAGAAGAAATATATGCTAATTATTATAATTAGAAATATATACTAATTATTGTAATTTCAAGCTGAATAATGAAGAATAAGAATTTTTAATCTTTTTTTTTTTTTTTTTTTTTATTTAGTTGTATGTTAATAAAAGCGTTTGTCATGTTCTCAGGTGTTCAGTTGATCATTGAATCAGCGATTATTGAGTGACAATGTGTTTGTGTATTTTTGTGGTTTAACCTGAGCATAATGTAAATATGATCGAATTTCCCTGGCAAAGATATACAATTTAGTCATTCTTTTCAAGATAAATAAGTCTTGTAGATTGTATGTGTCATAATTAATCTGTTGATTATGTATTATTGCTTATTGTGCTGTTAACTATTTTAAGGAATTTGTCTTTTAAAAAGTACATTTTGTAATTTTTAAAACCAAATTCATATGTGTTTTAATATTTAAAATGTATTTTTTCATATAAATAAAGAAATGTATTAGCATTAATTAAAAATTGTTATAAAACCTCTGTTTTATAATAATTTACTCTGTTTTATAACAAGCAGTATCTTCTTAAAATTTATATCATCAGTTATTCTGAAAGTTATTGGTAATTTACTATTTGTAATTTTTTTTCCATTTAACTTGATTTTAATAGAAGAAAAATTCTTACTGTGGGTTTAGATAGTATCATTACTAGAAAATTGCAAAATTAGGCATCGTAAATTATATTTAAAGAAATATCAAAATAGTTTGAACTTTTCTTTAATTTTTTCATGTTTGTATTGGTAATAAAAGATATGAGTAATGTTTTAGTTCTCGCTATCCAAATTTGACTTGAATATAAAACAATACAGTACAACTCAGTTATAATGAGAACCTGGATTTAATGAAGAAATTGGAAATAATTGGTTGGTACAATATTAAGTCTGTGGGTGTATAACTCAGTTTTAACAAGCAAAACCCAGTTATAGTGAGCAGTATTTTTGTGATTCATAAATTTTTTGTTTGCTTCCACCTCTCCAGCTCAACTAGTCTTTTTTTGGAAAAATTCTTTTAATATTCTAAAATCTATTGAAAGTTGGTGATGAGTCATAAATCCTGTGAACATGTGATGGCGGCCTTTTTCATCTTGTGAAGTGCACCTGCAATGACATCCCACGATGACCTTGAGGAAATGGGTGGAGATTACTGCTCATCAAATTTTATCTTGTGATGTCAAAACATAAAATTTTATCAGTTGACAAAAAAGTAAGGATTTTATAGGAGTTGGAGGATAGTGTAAAAAATTCCAAAAACTGCAAAAAGTATGATTTATCTTCTTCTGCTGTTTTAACACTGTTTAAGAACAAGAAAAAATTCATGGCTGCATTCAATAAAAATACGAAAGATTGTAGCGTTTGAAGAAGTGTTCTAAAAAGGATTTAGATGAAGCTCTTTTAAAGTGGATGAAGGTGCAACATAGTGCAGATTTTCCTGTAAGTGGTCCACTTTTAAAAGCTTGAACAGAAAAATTTTCTGAACAATTTGGCTATTCTGGATTTGCATGTTTGAATGGATGGCTTGATCAATTCAAGAATAGACATGGTATAACCTTTGGAAAAATTTATGGTGAAATAAGGTCTGCAAACATAGCGCATACCGTGACATAGATGAATGAAAAGTTGCAAGTCATCAGAGAAGGGTACACAAAAGATGACATTTATAATGTTGATGAAACAGGCATTTTCTACAACATAACTGCAGTGCAGATCAAGAGTGAAAAGTGCATCAAAGGCCACCCCCAAAAAAAATATCGATTGACAGCTTTAGTTCATTCTAATACCACTGGCAAGTGAAAACTATTGGTTATTGGCAAGTCTAAAAACCATAGGTGTTTTAAGCATGTAAAAAAGCTCTCTGTTGGTTATGACCACAGCAAGAAAGAATGGATGACTTCTGACATTTTCACAGAATTAATTTCAAAATGGGAAAGACAGCTGAGGAAGGAAAGTGAAAAAATTCTCGTTTGAACTGATAACTGTAAAGAACATCCCGAAGTCACTGGACGTAAAACATCAGGATTGAATTTTTACCACCAAAGTCTACAAATGTTATACAACCTATAAGCCCAAAGGGTGATCAGAAATTTTAAATCAAACTTTTGTGAGCACTTATTTTGATGCTTCTTGAATAGATAAAATAGGACAACTTGAAATGCTAATGTAAACATACTCAAAGCAACACGTTTAATGAACGATGCATGGGAAAACATTACATGAACATGTTTACGAATTACAAAGGCCGAATTGGACATTATTCAAGAGGGGCAAATCACTGAGGAAGAAGAAGTTGATGATTCGGAAAATTTGGAAATGACCAGAGACTAGACAAGAATTTGAAAATTATGTATCTGTTGATGCCAGTGTATCACTTCAGAGATAAGTACTCCTAAGGATATAAAATTCAAGTTAAAGCAGATGAAAAAATAATGAAAGTGACAATGATAGCGATAAATCTGAAGAATTTTAAGCTAAACATACTCAATGGCTTTTGAGTGCACAGAGAAACTCCAAACTTTTTTTGAAACCAAAAGTGCAAATGATGATATTTTTTGGGCCATGAGTTTTTTTCTGAAGAACAATAACACAAGAAAAAGACAATAAGACAGTTCAAAGTAAATTAAATAACTTTTTTTTTACTGTACAGAAATAAAAAATAAATAAAGTATATATAATACAGTAAGTATGCATGAATTTTTATGATTTTTTCATGAACCCATCTTTTATGAGCACTCATAAAAATAAGACAAGCAAATATTGCGGTCCCTTTGCACACGTTATAGTGAGTTCGACTGCATAATAATTTTAATATGAAATAATTGTGATAAATTTCTAATTTGAAGTATTTTCATATGTTTGTAATATTAAAGTAAGTTTTTCCTTAATAGGTCTTCCCTCTTGATTATATCCTCTTCTTCTTCAGCATCTTATTCCTTGTGATGTGTACAGTATCTGGTATGCGCTACCTTGGCATATGTTGTCTTTGCATCCCGGTAATTTTCTGTTTTTTAACACTTTGAGCTATGATGTGTCTTCATTCAAAATCAATATTATTTTTTATTTGCTTGTTTATGCTGTAAGTTGTAAATACATATTAGTAACTCTTCCATTAGCATTCTGAGGATATAATGTGGAAACCTTTAAACAAAGAACAAAATTAGTAATTGTTCCATTAGCATTCTGAGGATATAATGTGGAAACCCTTCAACAAAGAACAAATTTTAATAACTGCCATTTAGGTGACAAAGTTTTTAACAGATGCTACAGGATGATGTTACAGCAGTCTTCTCTCAGCAACCTCTAAATGTCACGGTAAAATGTTTCAGTGGCTGTCTGATGTAGAGGCAAATGTTGATATATTGTGCTCCCACCATATTAAGGGGAAAAAATCTTCATTGCACATTTATATAAAAGCGTAATATTTTTATTTTCTCCACGCATTATAAGGCTATATTTATCATATGTTAATCACGATATGTTTCCATTTTCCTGTAAATGTATCTGTCTAAAGCCTAGTCCTGTTATATTCTGGCTTAGGTTTGTTATAAACTGAAATTTATCATGTAGATGATATGAACTGATTCTAGTGAACAGGCTTTCAAATTATTTCGGTGAATAATTTACTAAGGAGAATCAAAATTTTGAATTATGCCTGCTAGTTGCTGTAGACTAATTACGAAATTTTTAATGCCTAATAAACTCTTTTTTTTTTTTTTTTTGCTTAGATGTATAAAGTGAGACCAAGCCGTACACCACCTCAAGGTTTGATTATGTTGTGCTTCATTCTTATGTTCTGCATTCTTGCATTTCATATCCTAGTATATTTTGTTATTCCAACTTATACAGTTTTTGGTAGTCAGTACTATTGCGAGGTAAGGATTTTATTTACTGTAAGTAGTATTTAGAATATTTTTGTTTATTTAAAAAATTACCGTATTAAATTCATACCTCCTAAGATATTCTAGTATTTCTCTTATATCATAATTTATACTGATATGTAAAAAAATCCCATTTAAAATGAAAAATTGTACATTTTTCCTGTGATTTCCATATGTTAACTTTATTCAATGAAAAACTGAGAAAAATGACTTGGGATAGGCATAGGAAGTTCCGTATATAATTATTATCATTATTATTGCATTGTATGGGTTGAGGCTCATTTTTAATCCTGTTCATATGACCTACTGCTGGTATTTAAAACTACAGAGTATTAAGCTATGATCTTTAATAGATTGTATATAAATATATATATAAATATAAAATCTTTTAGTTCTTCTTAGTAAATTTCCTAATACATTTTTAAAGCATAATTTTAATGGAGTTAAAGTATATTTTATAATTAAAAAAAAGCTTGAAATATCATTTGCTAATATGTAATGTTATTCATTCACAGCTAGTGTATTAAATTCATGGTACTGAATAAATATGTTACCAGCAATATATGAAAAGCTGGCATTCTGTAGAATGTCTAGGCAATATATAGAATGTTTGCTGTTTTGGAGTGAAGTGTGAAATATCTGAATTATTTTAATATTATATAAATAATCTTTCCCTTGGTATTCTGTATAATACTTAGGTAATGCTTAAATAGCAGTTATCATTTTTTAGTATTGTATAGAATGACAAGTGCTCCTGAAAAAGCTTTTGTTGAAAAGATGTAGCTCTGGAAATAGCTAATTCCTTATTTAACAGGATAAATACAAATAAGTTTACATTTGTTTTCCACAAATGTCACATAGCAGTTCAGGGCCAAAAACCCCATAGTTTCTTCTTAGTAATAATCTTGTTCTTTTCCTCACAAACTCCTGGTGAGTACTTTTAATTAGGAAAACACTGGCTCGCACTTTAATAAATTCATCATAAAATCATTGTTGCATATCAGTATAGCATGATTCCTTTTTGGACACGGCTCCTTGCTCTTCCATTTTCATGCATCACAGTGTCAACTAGAATCTTTGCTGAATAAATACAAAGTACCATATTTCATCATTTCCAAATAAAGACTGAAATGCAAATGGCAAATTCTCCATCTGAGAGGTGAGTGTCAAAATGTCACATTTTGCCGCAGGGCATTAGAAACATCATTTAAGGGAATGTTTTATATTTTGCATGTTTGTATTTTAGCATTGCATATAATGCCTAAGAAATGTGTGAAGTATTAATTCTTTCACTCTTTAATATCCATTTTTTGGCATTCTGTAGATTGCATAGACATCCTTTGTTGTATCTGCTTTCGTACATTACTAGATACATTAAGGTAATGTATTTGAGCCATGTGAAAATTTTGATGTATCACTGTAGTCCGGTTTGAGAGATTTCAGAACAGATTAAATTTTAACTGAGCAAAATGAAAGTAAATTTTAAAAAGTGGTATACAAAATTATTGTTTGATACATAAATGATTGCCCCTCCTTCATACTGTTCACTCTTACTTAATGCTCTATATCAGGATTTCTTAAACGTTTTTCAGTCGCGACCCCCTTTTATCACTGAAATTTTTTTTCAACCCCACAGGACCCCATAATATTTACAAAAATTTTGTCGGACCCCATAAGTATTGCACAAATCCGACACACGCGTGATTGAAACTATCAACTTTTTCCCTTGTACTGTAAATATACTATTGCAGTTTTAGGTCATTAACTTTAATTTCTAAATTTAAGACATAGAACAATGTGAAAATTTTCAATAAGTAACAGACGAAATGACAGCGTCATATGCAAAGCAAGGAAAATTAACGTTTATATTATAAAAAGAATGCATCGAAACATTTTCATTTTTCTTTGTCTGTATTGTCTTGTCTTTATCTATTTTCAGATATACTGTGTAAAAATATTTGGTAATTGTAAAATTATTATAATAAGTTAAAGAAATATCAAAACTGCTAAAATTTTTGGCAACCCCCTGCTGCAGGTCCCTTGACCCACAGTTCAAGAAACCCTGCTCTATATCAACATGATATGCATCTTAGCTCATGCCATGAAGTTTTTAACTCTGATGCCTGTTGCTGTAGGAAGTGGAATCATCGTAATAGCATCGTAAAAATTGCAGAGCAGCTAAGTTTCAGTGAATTTGATTCCATCGATGTAGTCAAGTGAATCAAACCAAACATTATCAACTAGATAATGAAACATTTAAAGAATGAGATGGGAGCTGATTGAGAACTAAACTAAAACTGAGATGAGAGTACTTAACAGCTTCCATCAGACATATAATGCATGTAATGGAATGTGTGTTATGTGTATAATAATTATTTGCATATATTTTTAGGTAAATAATGGGACATCATGTGATCTTAAAGCTTGCAACCTGAATGCCTCTTCAGGTAAATTTTTAAAAAATTATATTCTGGTAAAATTTAAGGACTATTTGTATACAATTAAATTTTATTTCAGAATTTAGTATAATCTCTCCGAGATTGCTTCCTTTTACAGATGATTGTGTGATGACAAGAGGAGCCACTTTTATTTTAACATTTGCATACAAAGCTTGGATCTTTGCTGCTACCTATTTTTGGTTGACTTGGGTATTTTTAGCTGTGAGTAATCTTTATGTTTCTGTAAGAAATTTTTATTTTATTCAATTTCAAATATTTTGTCTTAATAGCAAAGTAAAGTTTACGAAATCCACACTGACTCTAGTCATCGGTGTTTAAAGAAATAACATATGTTTTGCATTTATTATTTTTTCTACATTAATTTTGAAATTTTAGTCTCAAATTCCAGTTATTTCCAAAATTATTACCAATGAAAATTTCTTCATATCTGAAGATCTGTTTTTGCTAACGTTTACTTTTTCCTTGTTAATGCAACAATAAAGTGAATTATTAATGAAACGTAACTAAATGTTTAATCATCAATTGTAGTAAAGTAGTATTTTATGTATGGTAAATTTTAAAGCATTTTGTTTAAATATGCAAATGTATAATTTTTACTTCCTTGTACAAAGTAAAGGAAGTATTATAATCGCAAAAAATTCCGGGTACCATATTTCAATGAAAATATCCGTTTTGACTGCTATCGAATGCAATTTAAGGATGTTTCTTTCTTGACATCTGTACGTAAGAACAAAATAAAGTACTCTTTTTTTCCCCAAAAGAATTATAAAACTGATTTAAAATGTATTCAGAAGAGAATTTTTGGTTAATCTTCGGATTATGGTAACTTGGCAAAAATTTGGCGACCAACCCTGCTACAGCAACCTGCTAGTTTTTTTTTTTTTTTTTTACTCAAAATTTTTTCCAACAATATGCTAGCCGAATTACACTTATGCTAGCCGAATTACACTTATGCTAGATCTTTTATGGAGCAAAAGTGCTTAATCATGACAAAGATTAGGTGCGAAATTGGGAGAAAGGGCAGAATCGCCCACTGCTTGCCACGTTTTTAAGAATTGCACATACACAGTATCCATGCACATGTCGACCTATTTTCACTTAAAAAAAATCCTAGAATTGCACAAAAATGGCATTGCACACACTCTTAACTTTATCCATGTACACTGCTAAAGTCCTAGCTAGTAACCTTTATCGCCTTACCAAAATGTCGCCAAACTACCTGTTACCATATTCCAAAGATTAGCTGTTTTTTTATGTTCATACGTTTGTATCTCACATAACTGAAAAACGACTAGCCTCAGAACATTGAAATTTTGTGTATAGGACTGCTATAATATGTAGTTGTGCACCTCCCTTTCTTATTGCAATCGGCCGCACCAAAAGTATATAAATATATATATATATACTTATAAAAATTATTCTTATATGTTTGTAAATATTGCATTTTTGGCTTTAAAAATTATTGAATTATGTTGTTCTTATCTTCTGGTTAGGGTTTTTATGCCTTTAGTTAATCTGTATGCAATAATTTTAAAATTATCAACAATTTAAAAGTTGTTTAAGTGTGGTTAAGCCTAATTTTTCTGACCATAGCTGCCATATTTGTTTACATTTGAAACTGAGCAGAAACATTTAGTTTTGTGCACCGAAAAATCTGCCTTTTTGCCTGCTGCCAAATTGCTTGTTTTGGGGCAGAAACTCTTAATTTTAATTGTAATTTTTTTAAATTATTTAATTGCATTTGCTGTGTGTTTTCCTATAGCTTTAAAATTTTAATGAAGCTATTTTGAGTTTTTATATATTTTTGCCTTGCAATGAAGTGAGAATTGAATTAATTGAATAAGAAATATATCTGTAATGAAATTCAAAGAAATAAGTGTGTCATATTAGCAGCAAATATTATCACAAGTCTGTCTCGGGCTGAGGAGAATGTTTATGAGTAGCACATGCACATTAGGTAAACGACACTTAATCATCTGTGAAAAACTGTTTCTTTTTCTTTTTTTTTAATTTCTTTTATACATCATTTTAGATTTATTATTGTATTTGAGTAGAACATGTGCCAACGATTTGATAATTCTTCAGATGACATAATTTTTGTGCATTCTGAGTTATAAAATGAATGAGATGTAACGCTGTTAAGTAAACCTAATGCCAGAGTGTTGCTATGGTAAATAAATATAGTGAATTTTAAAGAGTGCATTTATTGTGATTTATGTGCTATCAGCAATGTAGAATTAATTCAATTAAATAAATGGAATGCAGGAAAAAATGCATATAATTTAATATTCCATACAAAGAAGTCGTCGTGTACACATCAGATTTTTTTCTTTATGTATGTATTGTAATTAAATTCGATTTCATCAGTTGTAAAGTATATATTTTTGCATGTTTATTATAATTTTAATAAAACTTTTAGGGTTTTCTTTTTGGCCTCATTATGACTGTAGTTCGGTCAAAACGATCTGTACTTGAAGAAGCTATTGATAGAGATGATTTTGATGACAGCTTTGATGATCGGATGTTGAGAGCATGAATTGAATGCAGTTTGGATTTTAAAAATGGGAAGTTCATTGTAGTAATAAATAGTTAGTGTTACAATAATTGTTCATTTACTATACTAACGTGTATTACTTTTGCAAATATCCTCTTATATTTGTGAGCATATGTTCAAATGTTTCCTTTCACTTTTAAATAAAATATATTTGAAAGCTAGCTAAATGTAGTGAAAGGCTTTCTTTATGAAGTTGTATTATCTGTGATATGTATTTAGTATTGAAGCATAATATTTAGTTGCTATAAATCATCACCTTTACTTCTTGCCACTTGTAAGTGTAATATATGTGTACAGTAAATGCATAAATTATATCTTTGTATAAACCAATCACCAAAATATGAGGTACTGAATTTTATTTTGTAAAGAAATGTTATACTAAACATGTAAAAAGAAGTTTTCCTGTTTAATTAAAATCTTTGATTATATTTAAATATGAATATTATTAAAATGTTTCATCAAAAAAATTTCTCTTAAGAACTGTTACAGATTTAATCAAAATATTAGTATTTTTAGCAGTTTCACATAATACTAAACAAAATTCTATCTGATATAAAAAATCTTTTTCATGTATATCAGTGTAGTAAGTAATTGCTTCTTTATTATTATTATTATACCAAGATTAAGAAATTTTAAAGTTAAAATAAAATAAAGATTTATTTGTTTGTTTCATTTCTGAAACCTTGAAAACAGAATTGTCATTTCTTTTTCCTGTAATATTCTCGTTATCAGAAACATCAGAGAAAATTTCAAAGATAATATATAAGTTAAAAGAATTGCATAGCAAGATGTGTAAAAGATTCTAGCAGATGTTTAAATTAAAATTATTGTGTATTTTAATGAATAAGACCTTTTTCATTACAGCTGTAGACTGTAAAAATATTGTTAAGTTTTACTTTTTAAAAATAATCAATATAAAACATGTTAATATTTAGTATGCAATACTGATAAATATCAATCAAGTTTCTGTGGGGAAAATGATGAATTTCTGTTAGATTTTTCCCTCTTAAGAACCCTTGAATTCTTTGAGTTTTAATATAATTATTATTATAGTAAGTTTGAAGGAATTTTATAAGAATAATAGTGCTGTAATTTTTCTTGAATAGTGATGTGTTTTAAGTCTAATTTCTTTTAATGCTATATTAAATGTTTAAAAGCGTCAAAATTATAATTTATTAACATGTAATTATATTAAACCAAATTAATAAAAGTTAAGGAACAAAATTTATTCTTAAATTTAATTAAAATATGGGAAACAGAATGCACTGATGATAACAAAAGAAAAAAAAAAAGTTTCCCAGAGTCCAGGCAAAATTAACAGGTCATCTGAAATCTCTACATGTGTTACACTTAAGTGTACGTTAAGGAATTATTTCAATAATTTAATTAAAATTAATATCAGAATAAAAATATGTTTTTGTTTAAACATTAATAAAAAATATTAAAAATTTGTATTTTATCCATTGTTTTGTTATCGAATGTAATCTTACACATTCTTAGTTGCGAAATATTCTCCCACCCTCACCACCAAGTGACAAAATTTAAAGTATGTATACTTTTCTATACTTCATATCTGATTCAGGAAATCACTCACTTACATGTGAAACATTTGATCAAAACAAATAATAAAGGTTTGAATTGCCAATTAAATATTAAATTATTCAATCCTTTGAGAAAGTTGATGATATCAACAATAGTTTTTCATCTTGCAAAATACTATTTTTAAGAAATCAAAAGTTTAACTGGAGGTATTGTGAAGTTTAAGTATATCAGGTTATTTATTATTATCAGAGGAAAGATGATGGTATCATTGACAGTTTCACATATTACTCATTCTTGCAACTATACTTTCACCTGTATATGCATACAGCTTATTTTTAACTGAACATCTAATTTTAAAAAGCACTTCTTTCATGTATAAAAGCACTAAAATTGTTTTAAGAAAAAGTGGAGTTTTCCTTTGTTAGTTATTTTAATTTATTTTTAATGGTATTTTTTTTTCTTTCCATAACCAGTCATTATTCCATTTTCAGGAGTAAAAAATGTTTGTTAATTCATTACACTAATATAGTATACCTTTTATGGTTACAGTATTTTCTTATCTTCTTTCTTCTGTTTCTTATGTGCATTAAAGAATTGAATGTATTATAGAGGAATAAAGTTCAATGTTAAAATTAAAAATGTTTATTTTAATTAATTTGTTATTGTATTTTGTATGAAACTTTTCTTCTATATTTATATGTATGAAAGATGTATCTCACATGTGTATTGTATTTTTCTGCAATGAAAATATATATCTTCCTATTATGTTGTTTTGTATAATTTAACATGTAAATTATTTTTAATGCATCCCATATAAATAGTGTATGTATTTAATAGCCTAGTTCTAAAATTATTTTTACGTATATAAAAATAAAGATTTCTCAAAAGCTGTTGAATAAAATGGATGAATATGTTTAGGACAATACATCACATCATAACAGATAAATAGAAAAGGAAAAATCAAGTGAAATTAAAATAATATACTTTTTTTTTTAAGAAATATGAACACTTCAGACACTAATGTAAACTTTTTATATTAATAGGGAATATGAGCTCTCCTAACTGGTATACATAATTTCATTCTCTCAGTAAGGCCTTTAATGAAGTTTACAAGAGTATTTTCATCTCCTCCAGTTATATACTATTAAAAGCGTTGAGATCTGTAGAACAAAAACTTTGTTACAGTCAAAAGTCTTAAATCCGGACTCGTTGGGACTTCGGCGATTCCGGATTATCGGTTTTTCCGGATTATTTGTCATCGATTTAAATCTGGTAAGATGGCATGCAGAAATTATAAAATTAAAAATATGAAACCGTAATTTATGAAATAAAGAGCAATTATGATCTAAAGGGTATCAAAATTTACAAAAAAAAAAGCTTAATATTTATTTGTTTACTTTATTAAATATTTCTTTCAATGTGCGCATGCATAAAGCATACATTACGCATTGTCGAAATTGGTAAATTGTAACCAGAAAACTATTTCATGTGTATTCGTGATATTTATAATGATGAGGAATTTGATTTAAATCATATCAAAGATGGAGTACATCAAGATGAAATACTACATTTAGTAAGGAATTATAAGCTGAATAAAATAAAAACATCTGCCCTGAAGATAAGGATAGTGCTGACAGATCAACTTCCAGTTCATTGTGCGCCAAGACGTCCCCTCCCCCCGCAGAGCAGCGTGAAATTGATAAACAGATTTCGGAATGGTTAGAGAAACAAAGGATATGCCTTAATCCATTTTTTGCAGCAATTCCACTATTTATTTGATGGACATCGAAACATGCTTTCGCTTTGTAGATCTTTTGGCAGCTACAGAATCGGAAATTCTTTTTGAGATAATCGAAAGTTCAAGCTTACTTTTATAAAATTGCTCTAACAGTCTGCAAAAATAATAAGCTGGATCCAATTAGATTAAGGAACAACGCAATCTGCAACATTAACTGAAATAGATAATTAGATCATTTTAGCTTAGCTTATACCATCCGTTATACATTAAATGCGTATGCGTAAACATATTATGAGTTTGTAGCTCTCAAGTCCGGGTTATGGACATCCGGATTAAAGACTTTTGACTGTATTCAACAGCATTTCTTAGTATCCCCCCTCCAGAAAAAGATTCCGTGACAGATTAAAAATAGGCTTTCCAGTTTATTTGTTCAATGCCTGAATGTCTTGCCTTCATATGTTGCTGAAAAAATATATGAATGAATTTTAAAACTTAATAGCCCCTCAGATGTTGGTCCTTAATTTTCTGTTCAAGTTTAGAGATATTTAAGTGTTTCTGAAACCATGACCAAATGGCTGTGTAAATGTTAAAACACACTGGGAAAAAATATTAAAATGATCTGTTTAGCCTTGGTGTGTGTGTTGTTGCATTTGTTTTATGTGGCATGTATGCCTTGTTTCTTGAATGATGTTTGTTTTAATTTTTTTTTTTTTTTTTTTTATATCTGATTTTAAGAAATTCATTATCCTGATTTACTAAGTGTTGATGCATATTATGTCCCATAAAAAAAACAGGTCTGCTTGCATATATAAAAAGTCTGTGCTGAAGAGCTGAAGTCGTTCACTGTCTTTGGATAGACCCAAATCGTATGTATTCAGAAAAGTACATCTGGTGATTATTGTTCCTTTCTATTCCATTGAATCTAAATGCCAAAACAGCCATATTTCATAATGGTGATAAGAATGCTTTAAACTTCTGGTCTTTCCAAATGTAAGTACATTTTAAATTATATTCCTTTTTATTATTTTTATTGAAACTCAAATATTCTGTTCAACAGTTTAGGTAGACTGCCTTTTGTTATGAAATCAAAGGATTTATTTCCTGGAATAAAAGAATAGTTTTTCATTAAGCCTTCTATATACAGTTTGTTGGAACATAAAATTTTCTCTTTTGGCTGTAAGCTCTAAATTCAGCTTCTAAGTTTTATTTTTCTGATCAATTATGGACAGAAATTGGTTTTCAGAAGTAGCCCTATTTCTTCTTTGTACTCCTCTCTATCAATAATTTGAGTGATTCTAACTTGTTTCCGGTAGAGAGATTATTTGTTGGGATATGGCTGTCTTTCTTTATCTTTGCATTTATGCATGGGTGCTCTTCTGAAAAACTGAAACAAATGTTCAATCAAAAGTCTTTAATCCGGACTCGTCAGAACTTCGGCGATTCCAGATTTCCGGATTATAGATCATCAGTTTAAATCTGGTAAGATGGCATGCAGAAATTATAAAATTAAAAGTATGAAACCGTAATTTATGAAATAGAGCAATTATGATCTAAAGGGTATCAAAATTTAAAAAAAAAAAAAAAAAAACTTTATATTTATTTGTTTACTTTATTAAACATTTCTTTCAATGTGTGCATGCGTAAAGCATACATTACGCATAGTTGAAATTAGAAAATTGCAACCAGAAAACTATTTGATGTGTATTCGTGATATTTATAATGACAAGGAATTTGATTTAAATCATATCAAAGACGGAGTACATCGAGATGAAATACTACATTTAGTAAGGAATTATAAGCCGAATAAAATAAAAACATCTGCCCCTGAAGATAAGGATAGTGCTGACAGATCAACTTCCAGTTCATTGCGTGCCATGTCCTTTCCCCCCGTTCCCCGCAGAGCAGCGTGAAATTGATAAACATATTTCAGAATGGTTAGAGAAACAAAGGATATGCCTTTATCCATTTTTTGCAGCAATTCCACTTTTTGTTTGATGGACATCGGAACATGCTTTCGCTTTGTAGATCCTTTGGTAGCTCCAGAATCGGAAATTCTTTTTGACATAATCGAAAGTTCAAACTTACTTTTATAAAATTGCTCTAACAGTCTGCAAAAAATAATAAGCCGGATCCAATTAGAAGATTAAGGAACAACACAATCTGCAACATTAACTGAAGTAGATAATTAGATCATTTTAGCTTAGCTTATACCGTCCGTTATACGTTAAACGCGCATGTGTAAACGTATTATGCACATGCGTAAGCGTCGCATGCGCGAAAGTTTGTAGCTTTGAGGTTCGGATTAAAGACTTTTGACTGTATATATTATATCATAGCTGAGATGATATCGTGTAAACATGGATAAAGTTCATTCACGATACGATACTATGTTTCGTATGAATGCCAACAAAAAAAATCAAATTTTCAAAATTTAAATAAAGTTTTTGTTGGGTGTGCAGTTTCAGGCACAAGATCTAGAATATGTTTCGAAACATTTGAAATAGATTTCGATCTTAATGATAAGCCAAGCTCTTTTTTATTTAATGCAGCCATTTTTAATGATGACAATATTGTCAAGAGCAAGATCATTTTCAGCTTCAGAGAATGAAGGAAACCTTAACTTAGCTCAACAATTTCAGACCATATTCATAAACTAGGATTGGTTTATAAATGTTCCAAATGGGTACCTCATAAGTTAAGTGAAAAAATCTAGTTGTCATATGCACACCTCCTGCCTGCTCGGAATATAAATGAAGCTTACTCTGGACGGATGATAACGGGATGAAAAGTGAATTACCTACGAAAATATCATTATCACAATTATCATACTGTGAACCCAGACAATCTTCACCTCTAAACCAAGCTTGAGCCTGAATAAGAGAATATTGTGTATACGATGACACGTCCAAGGACCAATATATCACGAGCTCTTTGAAACTTAACTAAAAGCTTAATACGGAAATAAACTCTTAGCAAATGAATGATTTAAACAAAACAGTCAAAGAAAAGAGGCTGTCGACACACGTTAGGAAGCACATCATACTGCATCATGTTAATGCCAGACCATATGCTGCTTTGGCGGCTCATCAGAAAACTGGAGAGTTGGGCTAAAAAATTTTGACGCTTCCACCATACTCCCCAGAACTAACACTCTCGGATTATAACTTGTTTTTCTCCTTACAGAAATTTTTGAAGGAAGAAAAATTCAAAATTGTAGCAGTCTGTCAAGCACTACTTGAGGTATTGCCTCTAAGGACAAGCCTTTTTTAAAAAAAGAGTATTATAAAGTACTATCACGCTGGTAAGAGGTCATAAACAATGATAGAAATTATATTATATAATAAATATTATTAAAGGCATTCACTTCCCAAATGGGCAGAATGTTCCAGTAGACCTTATATTTGCCTTGTGTTTGGATCACACCATGCCATTATTTGCATCTAAGAAATAGATTGATCAGCTTGATTGAAGAATGATATTTGGCTTGCTTTTGCATAAAAAATAAATCAGGTTGAATACGAGGACTATCACTTTGAAGGGTGTGATGCGTTGGTGGAAGATTTTCGCAGTAAAACTGGTTCCTATTCAAGTTAAACATGGGAAAACTCCAGAAAATTTCGTATGCAACTAAGCTTTTCGTCGGGATTTTAATACAGGTTGATACCAGTGTTTATCGGTTTTATCATTCGGCTTCTGGTAAACTGCTACTGAGCAAAGATAAAGATGCCCATCGATTGCAGATGCTGATTGTACAAGAGATTCTAACTGTTGAGATATGATGTTAATATGTGTTAAATTTGCGACTTTCGCACGACTTGAAGGAAAAAAACAGAGCAATGGAAAGAAAGACTTGATTTGATTCCCTGCTTCATTAGATCCGCTTTTCTAACTCACTTAATACATTTTAATTTCTGAGCATTCATTTTACTGGTTAACATCCATTGTCTCTTTCTCAGAAGTAAAAAGTTTAAGGTACTTACGATCTAACTCATAATGATTAAGATGTTATTTATATTCAGCATAGTGTTTCAAAATAATATAATTTATGCTTCAAATTAGTACCGTATTCTTTTGCAATCTATTTGAGGTATTTAAA